CTCGGGAAGTTCCCCTTATACTAGCAGTCCTCAATAGGGACTTGAGTACCCCCTACTATAACCCCTACTAAGGAGCTGCTAGTGTAAGGGGGAACATCCCAACCTAGACCCCTAAAACCCTAAACCCTAAACCCTAAACCCTAAACCCTAAACCCTAAACCCTAAACCCTGGGGGAGAGGGGGGGTGGCAATTGGCCCTCTTGGCTCTGGGCCCACGAAGAGGATGCTACTGTACCTGCGTGGGCATTCATGTGCGTGTGTGTCGCGTGGTAGTTGGTTTTGGGGAGGTCACCCTAAACTCCAAACCCTAAACCCTAAACCCTAAACCCTAAACCCTAACCCTAAACCCTAAACCCTAAACCCTTAAAAGGTGATTCCAGTTAAAAAAAAAACCCTCAACCCTAGGGTTCCCTGCAGGATCGCAGGTTGGGTCGCAGCTTGCAGCACACAGGCTTGCTCTGCGCTAGCGCCATGGTGGCCGTGGCTGCGCTACTCCTCCTCTGCCAAGGCTCATGGGCACCTCTTGGGGTTTAGGGTTTAGGGTTTAGGGTTTAGGGTTTAGGGTTTAGGGTTTAGGGTTTAGGGTTTAGGGTTTAGGGTTTTGGGGTTTGGGGTTTGGGGTTTAGGGAATTTACTTGGAGGTTCAAGGTACTTAGCAACCCAATGAGGACTGTTCCTATCACCCCATGATGACCCTGTTAGGGTACTTAAGGGGCTGACATGTGGATTATAACTGCACCTACAATGCTAGGACAGGGTGTAGGCCCTTTTTTACGTTTTTAGGGTTGGGGTTCCCTAATAATCCCCTTAAAACCAAAAAGGGCACCCTTTTATTCCTAGGTTACTCCCGGGTCTAGAATGGGTTGCTAAGTACCCCTGAACATCCAAGTGGCTCCAGAGATTTGGGAGCTGAGGGAGTTCTGTGAACTGGGGTGTCCATGGGGTTAGACTTGGATGTTCCCTGTTATACTAGCAGTCCTTAACAGGGATTGTACATAGGGTTTAGGGTTTAGGGTTTAGGGTTTAGGGTTTAGGGTTTAGGGTTTTAGGGTTTAGGGTTTAGGGTTTAGGGTTTAGGGTTTAGGGTTTAGGGTTTAGGGTTTAGGGGGTACTATCATCCCTTCTTAGGACTGTTAGCATAAGGGGGAAGGGCTAGCCCTAAGCCCCATTCTGCCTAAACCAGAAAAGGCACACGTGGAACTCATGACCCTAGGCTAGAGTGTCGAAGGGCCTATGCTCTGGACTCTGTGGGCAAGCTAGGCTATATGGTGAGTTCTCTAAATTGCGGTCCCCTGTTTGGGGGTATCCTAAATACGAGGGGCCGCCTTCGAAGAAGGACCCCAAAAGGGACCATGTAGAGAAATCACCATATACCCCCACACGCACCCACGACACGCACCCACGACACACACACACACACACACACACACACACACACACACACACACACACACACACATGGCATTTCCCTCAAAGGGGTTGTCATTTCAAGAAATCGAATGAGCACACCCTCATTTTTCTATACATTCCTCAGCGAGTGAAACATCGGACTGTCTGATCGGAAAACTGCAGGTACGTTTTCACCCCTCCCTGAGGGTGTTTTCGTTGGCCAGCGACCCTCAGGGAGAGCGCAGGCCCCCTGCATGCTGGGACAAGCTGTCCTTCGGTCGGCTAACAGACGGATCTACTCTTGGATACAGAGTTCCCACACACACAACCGGTCATGCCGGTTGTCAGAAGAGCATCTACTACAATCATCATTCAGCTTGATATCCTGCATAATTTGACAGACTCTTGGGTACAGAGTTTCCACACACACACAACCGGTTACTGCCGGTTGTCATTAACATTGAACGTGTCGGGGAAGCTTGGAGGATGCTCTTCACAAAGATTCTTGGACAGAGCAATAACGTCATTAAGACGTTGTCCCAAATAGGCAACATCACCCAGAAGCCCACGATGGATTGTTCAACATTGTCAAGACGAAACTGCAGAGCGGAAATCAAGTTACTCAGTCCCGCCCAAAGATGGTCGACTTGATCTGGCAATTCTTACCGAGCACGTATTTGATCGCCCAACTAAGTCTGCAACGACACGATCTGCTGAACTTGGATGAACGGAATAAAGCAGCGTCAGGGGACGTGGCACAGCCTCAACACTGGCGCACGCGACCCACTACTACACAAAGTAGAGAGGCAAGGTGAGAACCCCACTGATCCTTTGCTTAGAACTCTAGAAAAGCAAGAAACAAAAACCGTGTTGAAGCCTCCCAAAGAAAATCCAAAAATATTGAAGTTTACGATCTTCTGGGTGAAACTAAGCATTGTTCAGAAACTTCTGCAGCAATTGTATTTAATTGCTGAACCGAGGTCGCTGAACAAGTGAAGGTCGCAGAACAAGAGAAGGTCACTGAACCACAGAAGGGCAGAGAACACATTTCACGTCGCTGAACTATTTGCAATAATCATTCAACATTGGGAACCCCGCAAATCCTTTGCTTAGGATTCCAAAAGAGCAAGAAAAACATTCTTTGTTGAAGCCTCCCGAAGATCCAAGATGATTGAAGCTCGCGGTCATCTAGGTGAAACCAAGCATTCCATAAAAGCAAGAAACAAAAACCTTGTTGAAACCTCCCGAAAAATTCGAGATTATTAAAGCTCGCAATCATCTGGATGAAACTGAGCGTTGTCCGAAACTTCTGCAGCGATTGTATTTGCTTACTGAACAGAGATCGCTAAACAAGTGAAGGTCGTAGAACAAGAGAAGGTCACTGAACCGAAGAAGGTCAGAGAACCAATCTCACGTCGCTGAAATGTTAGCAATGATTACTCACTCAACATTGCGAACCCCGCAAACCCTTAACTTAGAACTTCCAAAAGAGCAAGAAAAACATCCTTTGTTGAAACCTCCCGAAGAAGACCCAAAATGATTGAAGGTCGCGGTCATTTGGGTGAACAAGCACCCCGGACAAGCAGGGTAGTTGAAACTTCCCAAAGAAAATCCAAAATTACTGAAAGTCGCGATCACCCTGGGTGAAACCAAGCATTGTCCAACATTGAGAACCCCACAAATCCTTGACTCCAGAACAGCAAGAAAATCATCCTTTGTTGAAACCTCACAAGGAAGATTCGAGATGATTGAACCTCACGATCATCTCGGGGAAACCAAGCATTCCATAAACGCAAGAAACAAAACCTTGTTGAAACCTCCGAAGAAAATCCAAGAATATTGAAGCTCGCGATCATCTGGGTGAAACTAAGCATTGTCCGAGGGGTGTCGTCCTTTGTGGCGTTAGGTTAGGGATCTTCTCCCTTGCATTATTTTGTTTGGGCTTGGTAGTCAGGCGTGAACTTCTTTTGGCGGGCTTCTGTGGTTGTGGGACATAGCGTCGTCGTCGCATGGTTTTCTTCAGGATTCGGGCAGGGGTTTGCGTCGAGGGTTTGGGCTGTTGTTGGCTGTTACTGCGGGTATCCGTTGTCCAGCGTGCCGGCGCCCGGCAAGGTTCAGGGTTTATATATATAGGGTTCCAGATTGGGGCCTTGGTATGTGCACGGCCTGCGCGCGCTCTATATACTTTGCAAGCGAGCATTCATGATCCCCCCCCCCCCTCCGACCCTTAGAAGGGTCTAGAGATTTTTAGGGTTTAGCGAACTTTATAGGGTTTATATAACTATGTGTATATATATATATACATACATATATATATATATTGTCCTTAGGACTTCAGGTCTCTCACCCCCCCGTCCCCCCCCCTCCCCCCCCTCCCCCATTCTTCTGCTCTGGTGAGGTTCGAAGCCCTCATCGACGGCTCTGCCGGGGACCTTTTGGTCTGGGGTTGGGAGTTTGAGGTTTGGGCTTCATGCGTTTGAGTGTTTTATAGGGTTTATATATCCAGGACTGCAGGTAGAAAGGTTTCCTCCCCCCCCCCCCCCTCTGGTGAGGTTCGAACCCCTCATCGAGCACAGCTCCGCCCGCAACCTCGGTTTGGGGTTTCGTCCAGGTTTATACCGGGTTCGGGGTTGGGGGGTTTGGGGTTTCGGGCTTCGTGCGTTTGGCCTGCAGTTTGGGTTGGTTGCGGTCTGGCTCTTTTCTTCCAGCCTGTGCCATCTATTGGTGTGTTTGGGCGGGCTCGGGGTCTGCCTTCTAGTCGTGTCACTCTTCCCCACCCCACCCACGACCTTCCCCGTCCCTGACCTTTCAGCTTGACCGTCGACCTCTATATACTCTTGCCTGAGGCTGGCTTGTGGCTCGCGCCGTTTCGCCGCGGTGCTCTGCACGGCACGTCGGAAGCCCAGAGGGGACCAGGAAGCCAAGGGTTTGTGTAGGGTTTCGCGTTGTAGGATTTAGGCTTGTTAAATCGGTTACATAGGGGTCTCGCCAGGTTAGGAGACTCGCCCCTCACGTTGTTATATATATATATATATATATATATAGATTGGATTGGGTTTTGCTTGACCCCGCGGAGTCACGGAGTGCTTTCGTTTGGGCTTGGGGTTTGGGGTTGGGCTTGTCTGGCTCGTTTGTGTGAGCCTGTTTGAGCCCTCTAACCCCTGAACCTGAAGCACCTCAAGTGCTTTAAGCCCCCAATACCCTAAACCCTATACAAACTCAATCTTGGAAAAACCCTCAACCCTAAACCCTGAACCCTAAACCCTCAACCCTCAACCCTAAACCCGAGATTGCGCATGCCGCCTGTTGCTCTGGCTGATGGAGTGATGGGGTATGATATTGATTCTGAGCAGGGTAGCAGGCAGTTATGTACTTCAGAAGTTCAAGAGAGACATCTATTTATCTACCTATCCCCAGTCTATATTATATATATACATATTGGAACCACTGTAAGCCATGTATAAAATTCCTTTGCAGACTTAGTGCAGCCTCGCACGTTGGCAATTTCCTGGCTTGTGTTCTCCTGGCGCCGCGTATATTCTGTTGGGCGAAGATCGAGGGATTCGCGTATATTCTGCTGGGCGGAGGTCTAGCTGGACGCTGTGGCTAGAATGGCATCAGGTGACCCGGGTCCTGAGTCACCGTGTACTCTTCCATCAAGGAGCGATTCCGAGCTGGGCCAGCGTCCTGCAGAGTCGCCGTGCACACCTGCGTCCGAGAGTGGTTGCGAGACGGAGCAGAGCGGTTCGCACACGTCTGCCGCGGGTTCCACTGCAGAGATATCCACTTTTCGGAGGCTGCGCAAGCTGCAAAAGGATTACGCCCAGCTGCAAAGCCGCTACGAGCAACTGGAGAAGCATTCTGCCGATCAAGAGAAGCAGCTTTCTCAAAACGAGGCCTTCATTGCGTATCTGTCGGCACGCAACATGGCGCTGCACTGCTCCGTCAATGAGCTGCAACAGAAGCTGGGGATCCAGGCTAATTTAGATGAGGCCGAGGAGGCAAAGCAAGGGCTTAAGCGTCGAGAGGATGAGGCGAACGCTGCTTTGAAGGAGATCGAGTCCGTTCAGGATGACATGGCTTTGCGCGCAGAGTGGCTGGGAGCATCGGAGGCGGATCTGCAGAGGCGAAAGGAGGCCTTCGCGCAGCAGGCCCGGGAAGCTGCCAGCTCATCTCAGAATCAGGCAGAGAGGCTGCAGAAGATGAGGAGGCAGAAGAACGAGCGCGAGGCCAAACGCAAGGCGAGGGCTGAGCTGTGTTCGCTGGTTCGCTCCTGCAAGGGTGTGCTGGTAATCAGAAGTGCCTCTTCGACTCGAGACAGCTGAAAAATGGCTCGGCCCTGGTCTCCCCTTGGAAGGGTTCATGGGTTGGGTTTGGGGTTCAATGTAGTTGGTGGCTGGGTTTAGGGGGGTTTATGCTCGAGCTGCTCGAGGTGTGCCATCTACTCGTCTCTCTTCCTTAACCCCTTCCCGCTTTAAAAACCCTTCTCCTCCCTCAACCTGACCGCTTGCAAGTGCTCTGCGCCCACCCTTGTCCTCCCTCAACTTCGGCCCCCCCCCCCCCAAAAAAAAAAAAACCTCAAGCCCTGTCCATGCCGCCCAGGTCCGGTCCGCAGCTCCTTCGCGCCGCGCCGAATTGGGTTGTTTTTTTCTTGTTTTGCTGGTGTCCGTGTGAGTGCACGAGGGCCCTGTTCTGCTCCACGCTCCCGCTCTCGAAAGTACAAAGAGCCCTGCCGGGAGCCCTGCTCCCCATCGCTGATCAGGTCCGGGGCTGGCTCGTCGCATCGTGGTGCGGAGCTAACCTCAGATCGGAGTGCTCGCAGCAGGGGTGTTCTCGGCTAGTTTGTGTTGAGCGTCGTGCGCAGGGACCTCGTATTCTAGGAGCACGGCCAGCTTGTTTTGGGTTAGGGTGGGTTTGCGGTTTGGGGTTGGCTCCTTCTGCCCGCCTGTGCCATCTACCGGGGGTTCGTCGTTGGACTTTGGTTGCTTGTTCATGTGAGTCTGCTGCTGACGTAGACTGGCTGGGTGCAACATGTTGAGAACACTGTGCTCGTGTCTGGATGCATTCCTGAGGATCCGTTGGCTCATGCCGTTTCGGTGTGGTGGAACTGTCCCCGCCTTGGCCGGAAGCCCGGAGAGGAAGCCAAGTCTTGGGCTTATACACACATATATATATATATATATGTGGCCGAGACCTTTAGGGTCTATTTGGCCATTTCCTTTATACTTAAGTACACAATCGTCTTAATCCTCTGTCTCTTACTAAGCTGGAAGAAAGCTTTTATTGCTGAGTAGGCATGAGAAACCAGGCTGTATTTCCGATAGCAAATGAAAGGTGGCCCTTAAAACTTTAATGGGCATGACAGAGCTGCTTTATCTTTTAGTAAGACATGCACACGTCTCTTTTTTCACTTCTTCATGAGACATGAGACAGGTCCTCTAGGTCTTCAGCAGAAGCAAGATAGTTTCTGTATCTCTGCCTTTTGTACAATGGGACATGAACAATCTCGTTTATCTTCTAGGAAACGGCTATCTCTTAATAAAAATGATGACAGATAGAGCTCTTTGTTTGTTGCAAAAGAGCTCCTCTGCCCTTAGTAAATTCAAAAAGCTCGTTTACCTCTTGAAAGCAAATAGGGAGCTACTATGATTCGCAGGCTCCTCTATCTCTTTGCAAGAAATGAGATCGTTCTCTACCTACCGCTTGCGAAAGAGCTCCTCTACCTCGTAATCAAAACTACGGAAACTCCTATGGCTCTTAATGGGGCATGGCAAGCTCCTCTACGGCTATCTTTTTTCGGAAAAGAGGGTCTCTACCAAATAGAAGGTCGCGAGAGACATCCTTTATCGCTTAATAGGAATGACAGAGGTCCTCTACCTCACGTTATGAGCGGAAACGAGAAAGCGCCCTTGCCTCTTATGAAAGGGCTCCGCCACCTCCTAATGCACAATGAGCAAGCTCTTCTATCCTTTTCGTCAACAAGTCATGAGAGGGCTTCCGTCCTTAACTCTTTTTTAGGAAATGACAGAGCTACGAAAGAGCCTTTCTTCTACTTGAAAAGTGAGGACAGGTTCTCTAGCGATTAATAGGCAATGAGAGAACTTCCTTATGTGTCTTCAATGAGAGAGCTCCTTTATGTATCTTTAACTCTTGCATGAGAGAGCTCCCCTATCTCTTTCTAGGAGTGACAGAGCCCCTCTCTCTCTTTCTATGAACGGGAAATGAATGGTGCTCCTGGCCATCGGACGTGACAGAGCTGCTCTATTTTGTAGCGGTGTCTAGATTTCGCCCTGTCACATGAGGCAGCTTCTCAGCTTCTTCTCTAGGCCTTAATTGGAAACTACTGTGCCTTCTTAAGTGGATATTAGAAAGCACATCTATCTTCTAGGAAATGACAGCGCTCCTAAGAAACAGTGACGCCCCATTACCTTGAACGGAACGAGAAAGCTACTGAGGGGTTGGGGGGGGGGGTGGGAGGAGCGCTTTCATTTCCCATAAAAGATGGAGGGGCTTTTTCATCAGGGAAAGTGGGGGTCCTTCATGTTCCGCTCGAAGATAGACGAACTCCCTCATAAGAGAATGAGCTTCCTATCAACCAAAAGATAGAGGAGCTGTCTCACAAAAGATACAGGAGCTCTATGACCACTCCTCTACTGCTTGAGCTTCAGCACCTCTTCAGGGAAAGAAAAGAGCTGCTGCATGTTGTAGAGGTAGCTCTGCTATCATTTGCTAAGAAATGAAGAGCCCCCTCTATCTCCCAACATAACAGGAGAGAGCTCCTATAAATTCTCAAGACATGACAGGCAGGGCCCCCCTGCCTGAGACGAAAGAGCTCCTCATCACTCAATAGGCAATCACAGAGCTCAAGTGCATAAGAAAGCTTCTTGATCTCTGGAAAGGTTTCTGCGAGAGCTCCTCTATTCCTTTCTAGGAGAAGCAGGAATGAGAAAGCTCCTCGGGGCGCGTTTTCCTTTCCTAAAACAAGACGAGGATCTTTCAGTTCCTACGCCGAAAAGCAGAGATATAGGAGCTATCTCACAAGAGATTCAGAGAGAAAAGCTCTTGTATCTCTTATGAGAAAGCTCTGCTATCTTTTAAAAAATGAAGTGGCCCCGGAAGCCCCTGTGTCTCTTCAATCAAACACCCTTCAAAACAAGTGAACGACAGAGCTCCTCTGCCTCTTGCGAAGGAGCTCTTCTGCCTTTTGAAAACTCACAAAGCTCCTTTACCTCTAGCAAAGAAATGGTAGAGCTCCTCGATCTCTGTCTTTTACATGGTATAGAGCTTGGCTCCAGAAAACGCTATATCTCTTCGCAGGAAATGAGAACGTTCTCTACCTACCTCTTGTGAAAGAGCTCCTCTCCTCGTAATCAAAACAGCGAAAACTCGTTTCGCTCTTCCTAGGGAGCGAGCAAGCTCGTGTTTCATCTTTTTCAGAAAGAGCGCCCGTATCATGGTCACGAGAGACCTCTGCCCTTTACGAAAGAGCTTTCTTCTGCTTGAAGAAGTGAGCCCCTTTCTCTTCCTATGAATAGAAAATGAAGGCGCTCCTCTTAGTCGGACATGACTCAGCTGCTCTATTTTGTACGAGACCGTGAACAGCTTCCTGTTTCTAAGTTTCGCTATGAGACATGAGAGAACTCTAGGCCTTCATAGGAAACGGGAGATCATCTCTATCTGTGCCTTGAAAAAGTGGACATCAGAAGGCACATTTATCTTTCTAGGAAATGACAGCACTTCAAAGAAATTCTGACGCCACATTACCTTTGAAAATGGAATGAGGCAGCTACTGGGCAAAAAACGCTTTCGTTTCCTGTAAAGGATGATGGGGCTCATTCATCAGAGAAAAAGGTCCTTCATGTTCCACTAGAAGATACTCTTTGAGCTCTTCAGGGACGAAGAGCTGCTGCGTCTTTGTTCTGCGATCTTTTCGTAAGAAAAGAAGAGCCCCCTCTATCTCCCAACACAACATGAGAGAGCTCCTAAAAATTCTCAAAACGTGACAGGCAAGGCTCCCCTGCCTGCGACGAAAGAGCTCCTCATCACTCAATAGGCAATCACAGAGCTCAAGTGCATAAGAAAGCTTCTTGATCTCTGGAAAGGCTTCTGCCAGAGCTCCTCTATTCCTTTCTAGGAGAAGCAGGAATGAGAAAGCTCCTCGGGGCGCGTTTTCCTTTCCTAAAACAAGACGAGGCTCTTTCAGTTCCTACGCCGAAAAGCAGAGATATAGGAGCTGTCTCACGAGAGATTCAGAGAGAAAAGCTCTTGTATCTCTTATGTGAAAGCTCTGCTATCTTTTAAAAAATGAAGTGGCCCCGGAAGCCCCTGTGTCTCTTCAATCAAACACCCTTCAAAAAAAGTGAACGACAGAGCTCCTCTGCCTCTTGCGAAGGAGCTCTTCTGCCTTTTGAAAACTCACAAAGCTCCTTTACCTCTAGCAAAGACATGGTAGAGCTCCTCGATCTCTGTCTTTTACATGGTATAGAGCTTGGCTCCAGAAAACGCTATATCTCTTCGCAGGAAATGAGAACGTTCTCTACCTGCCTCATGTGAAAGAGCTCCTCTCCTCGTAATCAAAACAGCGAAAACTCGTTTCGCTCTTCCTAGGGAGCGAGCAAGCTCGTGTTTCATCTTTTTCAGAAAGAGCGCCCGTATCATGGTCACGAGAGACCTCTGCCCTTTACGAAAGAGCTTTCTTCTGCTTGAAGAAGTGAGCCCCTTTCTCTTCCTATGAATAGAAAATGAAGGCGCTCCTCTTAGTCGGACATGACTCAGCTGCTCTATTTTGTACGAGACCGTGAACAGCTTCCTGTTTCTAAGTTTCGCTATGAGACATGAGAGAACTCTAGACCTTCATAGGAAACGGGAGATCATCTCTATCTGTGCCTTGAAAAAGTGGACATCAGAAGGCACATTTATCTTTCTAGGAAATGACAGCACTTCAAAGAAATTCTGACGCCACATTACCTTTGAAAATGGAATGAGGCAGCTACTGGGCAAAAAAACGCTTTCGTTTCCTGTAAAGGATGATGGGGCTCATTCATCAAAGAAAAAGGTCCTTCATGTTCCACTAGAAGATACTCTTTGAGCTCTTCAAGGGCAAGAAGAGCCTGCGTCTTTGTTTGAGGTGGCTCTGCGATCTTTTAGTAAGAAATGAAGAGCCCCCTCTAAATTTTTCAAGACATGACAGGGCTCCCCTGCCTGCTACGAAAGAGCTCCTCTGTAGCGAAGTCTCGAAAGAACTCAAACAATTGAGAGGCTCCTCATCACTTAATGACGGATCTCAGTCGCTTTTTTTGGCATAAGAGGGCTTCTCGATCTCTGG